GCAAACATGCAAGTCAACAAAATTCAAACATACCATGCAAACATGCAAGTCAACAAAATTCAAACATACCATGCAAATATGCAAGTCAACAAAAATCAAACATACCATGCAAGTCAACAAAAACCAAACATACCATGTATCATACAAGCCAGGCAAATATGCCACTCAACTAAATCAAAGGATCGCATACATTATATATGCTATGCAAATATGCAAGTCAATAAAATCAGAGGACATTTTAATTTTTTAAACATTAATTCAAATTAATTAATGCAAATCAACAAAATATAAATGAACATTATTTAAAACATTTATTGCACTAGAATTCATTGTGCATTTTTTATACACATAAAATAAAAATTTTTGACTTGCATTAGATAGAACAAATAGACATTATGCAATCACTATAGTTGAAGGATATATAGAATTTAATTAGAAAACACTGTAATTATAATTATAACTTATTGTAATATTATTTATAATATGTAAATTTATTTTAATAAAAAAAACATTATTAAATTAAAAAAAACATTTTCTCATGCTCATTTATCCACATTCCATTGCTGGTATACGAGTATGCATAGAATAGTAAACTCTCAAATTTAAGCAACCCCCTACGTCATCATTTTTTGATCGATTTTTTGTGGGGGTTGCTTAAATTCGAGAGTCCTTGTGCGTAACATCGAATTATGCATCGCAACATGACGCAGATCGAATTGATCAATGTGAAAAATTTCTGTCCTCCCAAATCCAAACTTTCGTACTGCAAATTTTGTATCAATCTATTATATAATAGTTTTTGATAAAGGGGTTGCTTATTTAACTTTTTTAAGACTTTTGAACTTGAAGGGGGGGAGGGTTGCTTATTCTCGAGGGTTGCTTAAATTCGAGAGTTTACGGTACTTTATGAAAGGCAAAGGCCCCAATGTAGTTCTCGTTTCTTTCAGGTTCCCGTATGGCTAGTCTCTTCTGAGGCGAAGGTTCAATTCCTTCCGGGATCAATTAAATTATTAATAATATTCACGAATGGCTCTGAAGAAGATCATATCAGTGTACCAATGATATCTGACGAGACTATTTTCATGATGAGACGGAACCATTCGTCAGACGAAACCTGTGACGATTGAATAAATTGGGATTTTCTAATGAAACAAAAACATTTAATAAAGAAGCCAAATTGCATATTTTTGGTCATTTTAATCTGTCGACATTTACCGTTACTACATGTTATTATTTGTTGTAATCAGAAATCATCAGATACTTAAGATTGTAATAATTGCCGTTTATGTATTAAGATGTAAAAATGATCTTGGACTTGTATTACCGGCTCTCTTTAAAGATTCTCTTCCTAGGGATAGCCATTGTCATTTCATGGCCATAGCTATTTCAAAGTAAAGACTAGCCTGTTATAATAAAGAATCTTAAGCGTCGTTCCCTTTGTTTCGTCGTGAGTGCACTTCGAGCCCATCAGGATTGATTATTTTAACCTTGTTGTAACTGCTTTGGCTGTTAATATTTTTTCAAATCGCGTTTCGTTTCGTACTAACGTTTAATAATTATAAAAATCTAACCTTTTATACTCGTTCATAATATGCTGTTACGGTACAAATGTGGGTGGGCGGCATTAGTGATTTTTGGTTCGTGACTAGCGTTGGAAGAGTAATTAGACTGATTATTGATTATGCTGATTGAGCCTACAGTAATTCCAGTGCCGTTCTGTATTCGTTTCAAAAGGAGAGTTTCTGAATTGTTTGCAGCGTGGGAATTTTGAAGAAATAGATTTCGAGAGAAAGTTAGAAAGGTATAAATAACTATTCTATTAATCAAATCAATCAATTAATTCACTGATGCGTTTGCCTTTTCAAGCAACCAATACGTTGTTTTTTCTTGCAAAGAACCTAACCAATCTATAATGTTTATAATTACGATTATAATTATGATGTCTTTACGAAGAGGTTTTCTGTTTTTTTATTAAGATCCGAAAGCCATTCGTTATATACATTTTTTGTGAGCGTTTTCTATATTTTAAAATTAATTCTATTTATCATTATATAATTTATTACATTGATAAAAGAAAGAGTTGCATTAAACACTTCAAAACCTCCTCAAATATGAGCACAGGCCTGTTCAGGTACAAAGATTTCTCGGTACAGTTCAAATTTTTCTTTATATACATGGAAAGCATAATACATGTAGTAGAGTTTGATGTTTGTCTTATTTGTAGCTCGCATGGGAAAGAATTTCAGGTGGCCCTCGTTCATACCTTCGAACAAATTGCTGATGTTTAGTTAGAATTCGATGTCGAGATTGGGTTCAACCTTATATATTTTTACAACGCGCTTTAACGCTGGTAAATTTTCTGAGCATGAAGATAAATGGATAATGGTGTACAATCAGGAGATTAATAGAGGGTGGACGGGAGTATGATTCTGAAAAATTGAACAATATTTTCATATACCTAGCGCCATCCAACTCCCGGTTGATCTAAAAAATCTGCCTCGTAGCAAGCCAGAAAAGCATGTGACTGTTCAGCGTACCAGTGATGGAGATGATTTCAAAGGTTTAATAACAACAAAGTGTAGTTGATACGGGTGCATCCGAAACAATCTTACCACAAGGATGCTTGGGCGGAGAGGTTGGAATACATCATTATTACTAAAAGCTGGAGTATATGGCGCACTTGCTAGAAAAATTCGTGCATCTACGATGTTTGAGTTGTCCATTGGTGATAACAACAATTGGAGTAAATGGGTTCAAGCCCAAGTTTTATTCTGGGAAAGTCGTTCCGGAAATAAGTGGAATGTGTTCTTGATGGCAATGATACACGGATCAAGCTGGGAAACTCATTAAAGTTGTTCAAGTCTTTGATGAGGGATCGTGAAAACAAACGAATTATTATGTCTCTCTCGATCAGTATAAATCTGAATGAAATCATGCAGCTGGAAAAACGATCCATGAAGTAACGATACTATGATAAATTCCTCGAATTACTGGAAACTACCTGTATAATAAGAGACGCGATTAAAAAGCCATGACCTGACCTGATTTGATCTGAGAGATATTCAGTAAATACCAAGTTATAAGATATAAAAAGAAGTAAAATATTACAAGATTAAAGCTATCTAAATATTTTAGCAACTCAGGAGGCATTAATGGTGTTTTCTTGGCGAATTTTATGTAATCTGCTTTCAATTAACCGATTTTTTAGTCTGTACAAAAAGAAAGAGTTATATCAGACAGCCAAAATTCTATCAATTATGCATACCGTACCTCATTCTGATCTAGATATTAACTTTTAACTTCCAAGGTTTCTTATTAATGTGAGCAAATTTATTCTCGTAAACTTCTTTACTATTATTATTCCTTTCATCTTTTTCATGATCTCTTTTTCTTTATAAGTTTTGCTTCACTGTTTATATTTTTAAATATTCCTCCATTTATTCCCGTGTTCAGATTCGTTTAATGGATGTGATCCAGCTTCTTAATGCACTTTCTTCACATACTTTTGCTTTTGTACGATCAGATCCAAGTCCCTAGAAAATTAATGATTACGTTCGACTAATATTTCCTATCCCACCAGAACATCAGATAACCAAGCAGATTACCTGTGCGCCAGCATCACTTTGGTGGTTCAACAAACAGCCTTGAATAAAGTCCAACCAGACCCCAATTCATGCCACAATTAAAAGAATTTTTACTTGCCAATTTAAATCCGTCGAGCTTTTTCTGTCCTCCTTGCTCATCAGCGATGGCTTTGAGACTTTTGCATAACCACAACAGCAACAATCGCAAATAGTATTATATTTTGTCGCTACTGCTGTTGCGGTTGTGGTTTTGAACATTTTTTGTTCGAACACAGGAAGTAGTTTCAAGTTACATGTACATGTTCTGGACCAAATTTGTTAGCGATTTTTTTTTTGAAAAATTTTTATGTATAATAGGGAATTGAGTGTAAGAGACCCACCATTCGATTTACCAGGACTTAGGAAATTGAATGGTGGCTTTATATTCAATTCCCACCATTAGATCTCGAGATATTGAGTCCCAAAGAGGCCGTACGGTAATTTTTATTTTATGTACGGCCTCTTTGGGGCTCAATATCCCAAGACCCAATGACGGGAATTGAATATAAAGCTTATCATTCGATTCCCTAAGTTCTGGTGAATTGAATGGTGGATCTTATGCTCAATTGCCGTCACTGGGCTTGAGATATCGAGCCCAAAAAAGCCGTGCAATTCCCGTACGAGACTCAATAGCGAGGATTGAATATAAAGCCACCATTCGATCTGATGAATTGAATGGTAGATCTTACACTCAATTCCCACCACTGGGTCTTGAGATATCGAGCCCCAAAGATATCATACATAAAAATTTCTTATCGTATAGCACTGTATAGAATACCGGGTCTAAATCAAATTTATCACGTTAAATACTTGTGTACCCGGGAGGTTCTGATGTATAGTAGCGGGTACACAAAAAGGGGGGGTACACAACGAGCTAATAATAGAAAATTCATATGATTAATAGCGGCGCCTAATAATTTATCATTAACGCGCGTTAATAAATTTGTCTTTTTGACACGGTTTAACACTTTAACAACCTTATCATATATCAGAAAAATAATTTTTTGATATCTTCAAAATATTAATATTTTTCAAAAAAATATGGGCCGCCCTAAAGCTAATAAAAAAGCTCTTCAAGCCCGAGTTACCCAAAAA